AAAAAAAAAAAGATGTGGTACATATATACAATGGAATATTATTCAGCAACCAAAAAAGAGAAACACATGTCTTTTGCAGCAACTTGGATGGAGCTGGAAAAGATCATGCTTAATGAGGTAAACCAGGAAGAGAAAGAAAAATACCAGATGGTTTCACTCATAGCAGGAGTATAATGGACCAGGTGAGAAAATAACAAGAATAATGAACAGCCATATACCATAGACATTTTGTGGGGGTGGAGTGGGGAATGGGATCAAAAATGGGGGGAGTGAGGGAAGTGCACAGGGATTATGGTGATGGCACACGGGTGACTTGGTGATGGGAAACCTGCGGGGATTACAATTGAGATGGAAAAAAAAAACGTACAAAATGATGTAAAAATAAAATAAAAAAAGAAAAAGAATCATTCCTGTTTCCCAGTAAAATAACTTTCTCCTAAGTCTGAAGTCTCAGGGTATCTTAGAGTGATTACTGTTAAAGTGTAAGGTGTGGTTCTGTTTTCACTGCACATTTGAATCACTCAGGGAGTCTTAAAAGTTCCAAAGTCAAGGCCGCCTCCCAAACCACTTACATGAATAGCTAGTAGTAGACCCAAGAATCAATACTTATTAAAGTTTTCTAGGTGACTTCACTATGTAGCCAAAGTTGAGAGTCTCTGATTTTTAAGTGTATAACGGGATTTCCATGCCAGCTTAGAAAATTATGTATGTCAGTCTGTCATCACTATTAGCCCGACCATTAAACCCAAACACACCATTCATATGCTACAAACACAAAGAAATACTAGAAAAACTAAGGGGGAATGACCATATTACTGAACATGAAATAAAAGAAACCCTTGAGTTACAGAACTAAAAGGCACATATAAGAACTTGAGCACTGAGTCTTAGGAGACAAAACAGAGATGCTGTCCCGAATGTCTAGGGAACACAGGTTTTAAAATCCATACCTGACAGAAGGCATGGACTGGGTAGTGTAAGGCTGGGAGACAGACTTGAGACCCCTTCCTAAAGCCAGGATCCTACGAAGCCTGCACCATGGTGAAAGGTAATCTTCTCAAAGGCAAGCTAGTGTACCCATATTAAAATAAAACTCACATGTCTTTAGCACAAGAACATTTCTAGGAATAAAAGGATAAAATAACCAGGAACATAAAAGTCCTGAACCCGTCTGACATATCATCACTCACAGGGAATTATCTACAAAGGGGTCACTGAGCCGTAGGATTCTGTCCCACTAATTTCTGGCCTCCATTGTTCTGCTGCAAAGTCAGCTCTTAATAAAGCTGATGCCCTCTGTCATAGTCTGTTTAGTCTGCCATTTTTAATGTAAAAAAACAATTAGACTGGGTGGCTAGGAGGTCCAAGGTCGAAGAGATGGCATGTCTGGTGCTGGCAGGAGCTGCAGACACAGTTCACAGGTCTTGACATCTTTTCCCTGTGTCCTCACATCGCACAGGCAAAAGTAAATTCTCTGGGGGTTCTTCTCTAAGGAAAGTACCTCCTATTCTTGAGGGCTGTACCCTTGAGACTTAATCACCTCCCAAATGCCATCACACTGTGTATCAGTTTTCAACATTCAGTCCATTGTACTTCCCCCTTGCTGCTTTCAAGAAATTATGCCTAGGTTTTAACAACATGACCATGGTGTGTCTAAGTTTAGATATTTCCGAATTTATCCTACCTGAGGTTAACTGAATTGCTTAAATTTGCAGGTTGAAGTTTTTTATATGAATCCATTTTCTCTTCTCTTTTAGAATGTCAATTCTTCTTCCTCTTTCTTTTTTTTAGTGGCTATCCTAGAGTTTGCTTTAAACATTTACAAGTAGCCTAAGACAACTTTCAAATGGTAGTATACTATGTCAATACTTTATAACAAATATTAAATACTTTATAACAAAATATTTCCATTTCTTCCTTTAAAACATTGCTTCTATTTACTTATCCATAAGCTATCGTCACTGGATAGATTATTACTATCATTTTGAAGAAAATGTTTTGCTAGATATATTAAGGAAAAAAAAATAATCATTTTACCTTAACTTAGTCCTTCTCTAATGCTTATTCTGCCTTTCTTCATACAGAGCTGAGTTTCTGATCTGTATCATTTTCCTCCCCACTGAAGAACAACTTTTAACATTTCTTGAAAGGCAGGTCTAGGATGACCAAGGCCTTCAATTTCCATTGACTGACAAAATCTTTTTGCTGTTCAATTTTGAAGTTAATTTGCCAGATCAAGAGATTTGGTTGGTGAATTTAACTGAACTTCTTAAATATTTCATGCCACTCTGCTTGCATGGTTTCTGAAGAAAAGTACTATGTAATTCTTGTAATTACTGACCTCTTTGGAGATTTTGTTTCCCCTGCTGGTTCTGAAAGAGATTTCTTCTGAAATAAAGTCTTACATATGACCTTCTTGTCATGTGACCTCAATTTTCTGATGGGTCTAAGAAGAGTTGTTGATTTGCACTTGGTCTAGCTTTTTAACTGCTGTTAAGGATGAAAGTAATGGCTTCCCAAATTCCTCACATGTCAAATGGATTAGGTCATATCTTAATATAAAATTCCAGAGTCTCTCTTCTAATGTCCAAAACTATTATCATATAGATGATCCTTAATGATTAGTAGGTCAGTGCCTAGAACTTGAAGTATTAGCATACTTGTCAGCAGGGATGCTGAGAGATACACAACACTCAAGGCCCTCCTTGCAAATTAAAATTCTATAGGACTACTTAGGCCAATGTGCAATGCTCACCACCTCTGGGGGCTGAGGAAGAACTCCTTTCTTTGCCCCTCCAGCAGCCCCCCTCCTCCACTAGAAAGGTGTTAGCACACTACTAAGCTAATTGGGTATTATATTTGCCTCATTTCAGCATTCTACCTGGTCTTTCATATAAAACAGAAGAAATTTATTTTGACATACCTATGAATCTGTCCATTTTTATGCAGATATTCCAATCCTTCCAGCACTTCTTTGAGGATTGTAGCAATGGTAGGTTCATCTAGGACTCCACTTTTATGTTCTCCCTTTGCCACAATGTATTTAATAATATCCAAAACAGAACCTGAAAACAGAATATAAAATCTTCCATAAATTTTTAACTCATTCAATAAAACTCAGTGTCATTTTAAAGTCAAACATATGTGACCCTTTTTGTAAAGTGAACTGTATAGTAAAGAAAGGGACAAAAAGTACAAATATGAATATAGAAATTTCAAATTAATCATTCATTTTCAATTCCATTTTAAAACAGAAAACAGCCTGCTGATACCAAATATTACACCAGCGTCTCCTTTAAACTTCTAAGGAGAAGTATTTTTAATCACCTCTGAAAATAACCTAGGTAAGCCATGGTCACCAGTAATACTTTGGTGTAAGTTATCACACACCAATTCAACTAAAGTATACAATTTTGAATGAACAAAAAAATCAAAATACAATTGCTGTGCAGGTCAAATTACAGAAGATATAACTTGGAAAGTAAAGAGCACATGTTTCTAGAAACTTAAAGAGTTAAAATTATTTTTTCAGGTTAATAAAGAATAGGAAAAAAACAGGTAAAGTAAAAAAAAAAATTAGGAAAACAATTTCAAAAGCAGTTCTCTTTAATTAACAGCTCAATGTATTATCAGTCCCATTCTCCCCAAGATAAGAAATATACTCTAACTAAAGACTAGAGAGAAAGGGGAAAGACACCTAAATAGTAATTAACTCTAACACCTATACAAGTGAAAATTTTGTAAGAGATCCATTAAGATTTCTGGTAGTGCAATGGCCCATAAATCAGAGACCCAAACCAATTTCCATTATTAGAAATTATGCCAAGAATTTTGGAACATAACATAAACTGTACTGAGAACAGTGTCCATTTCTTGACACATGACATCAATTAAAATAACTAAAATGTGGCCCTCCCTGGTGGCGCAGTGAGTTAAAGCACTGCACTGAGAAACTAAAGCCACTTCCTCATGAGTTCGATCCCGCCTGCCTTGGAGGTGACC